AGAACACTGAAGTATAGCAATTCCCTCATCTGGCACATAAATACTAGTGGTAATCAAATAATATTATTTACAAATTATAAACACTGTAAGTGCAGATAATGGGGATTGGATATATGGTAAAGGTATTAACATAAAGAAAACACCTAAAAACTATACAGAGTGTCAAAAATACTAGAAGAAATTCCCCCAAAAGTGGGTTAAAAAACCATATAAATGAAGAGCAATAAACATAACATGATGTGAGTCAGAAATATTAAATGAGATAAATATGACAGAGGTTGGATTAAACCCATCAGTTGTAGAAGTTAATGTAAAGTTGTTAACTCATTTATTATAATATTTTTAGATTTTTTTCAGAAAGGAATACTTGGTTCTAGAGTTGCATATATACAAGGTATATAGCAAATGTAAAGTGATTAAATGTGGCTAGAAAAAAGGAATAAGTAGAGATGTCTTGTAAAGTACTGACAAGAATCTCAATCCTTATTCATGAGCTTAAGGTAAATAAACACAGAGCAGAGTACTAGATGGCTACATATTTTTAAAAAAGGATGAAAGACATATTACCAGATACTGATAAAGAAAGACTATGATTGTGCTTAAAAGTTTTTAAAAATCAAGGCCAAGATTCTAATACACATTCTATACACACACATACACATGATCATTGGCATAAGAAAGAAAAGGAAATCATTGTGTGTATATTTTTATCTACTGTTTGCTTGCTATTTTATTTATTTATTTGTACATTTAAATTTTTAAACATTTATTTATTCTAATTTGTTATACATGACACGCAGAATGCATTTTAATTCATAGTACACATATAGAGCACAAATTTTTATGTCTCTGGTTGTACACAAAGTAAAGTCACATCATTTGTGTCTTCATATATGTACTTAAGGTGATGATGTCCATCTCATTTCACGGACATTCTTAACACCCTTGCCCCCTCCCTTCCCTTTTTTCCCCTTTGTCCTATCTAAAGTTCTTTCATTTCCTCATGATCCCCAACCCCATCCCCATAAATCAGAGAAAACATTAGGCATTTGGTTTTTTGGGTTTGGCTTACTTAGCATGATATTCTCCAATTCTATCCATTTACCTGCAAATGCCATAATTTTAATTTCTTTTAATCCTGAGTAGTATTCTATTGTGTATATATACCACAGATTCATCTACTGAAGGGCATCTAGGTTGGTTCCACAATTTAGCTGTTGTACTGCTACAAACATTGATGTGGCTGTGTCCCTGTAGTATGCTGTTTTTAAATCCTTTGTGCATAAACAGAGGAGTGGGATAGCTGGGTCAAATGGTGGTTCCATTACCAGTTTTCCGAGGAATCTCCATATTGCTTTCCATATTGCCTGTACCAATTTTCAGTCCCACCAGCAATTTATGAGTGTACCATTTTCCCCACATCCTCCCCAACAATTATTGTTGTATGTGTTCATAATACTTGCCATCTGACAGGCATGAGATGAAATCTTAAGTAGTTTTGATTTGCATTTCTCTAATTGTTAGAGATGTTGAACATTTTTTCACATATTTGTTGATTGACTGTATCTCATCTTCTAAGAACTGTCAGTTCAGTTCCTTGGCCCATTTATTGATTGGATATTTTTTTTCTGTTTAGATTTTTGAGTTCTTTATATATCCTGGAAATTAGTGCTCTATCTGATGTCTATGTGGTAAAAATTTGCTCCCATTTCTATAGGCTCTCTATTCATCTCACTGATTATTTCTTTTGCTAAGAAGAAGCTTTTTAGTTTGAATCCATCCTATTTATTGATTCTTGATTTTATTTCTTGCACTATTAAGGAAGATGGGGCCTAATTTGACACAATGAAGATTGGAGCTTACTTTTACTTCTATTAGGCTCAGGGTCTCTGGTTTAATTCCTAGGTCCTTGATCCACTTCAAATTGAGTTTTGTGCCTGGTGAGAGATAGGGGTTTCGTTTCATTTTCCTGCATATGGATTTCCAGTTTTCCCAGCACCATTTGTTGAAGAGGCTATCTTTTCTCCAATATATGTTTTTGGCACCTTTGTCTAATTTGAGACAACTGTATTTATGTGGATTTGTCTCTCTGTCCTCTGTTCTGTACTCTTGGTCTACCAGCTATTTTGGTGCCAATACCATGCCATTTTTGTTAATATTGCTCTGTAGTATAGTTTAAGGTCTGGTGTTATGATGCCACCTGCTTCACTCTTCTTGCTAAGGATTGCTTTATCGATTCTGGGTCACTTATTTTTTTCCAGATGAATTTCATAACTGTTGTTTTCTATTTCAATGAGAAATGTCATAGTGTTTTTTTTTTATAATAAACCAAAAATATATACATCAGATACAAGTGAAAATTATTACTTATAGGACCTCTTTGGAAAAAAGGTCTGATTCATTTTGAGACAGATATTACAATCAATAGCTTTGCATTCTCATATTGGAAATCAAGCAATCTATCAGAAATTACTGGGATCCTATCAGAAAAATTCAGGAAAATTTTGAAGTTATTTAGAATAATTACAATAATAATTACTTCAGATTAGTAAATATGTAAAAAATATATGAGCTTATCTTTACCATTCAAAGTTATTCGTAAATTTCTGGGGTTATTAGGAAAACAATTTATTATTCTGAAAACTAGTGATTTGATTCATATATTCTGGGTTTTTTTCTATGCGAATTTTATTTATTTTGTACAATCAGGTTTTTTTTTTTCCCCCTTTCAGGAAGTAAAGATATAAGTACTCAACAAAAAAGAAAGGAAGGAAGGAGGAAGAAAGGAAGAAAGAAAATACAAGAGAAAAGAAAAGGAATGAATGACAGGGAAGGTGAAAAGGGGAGGGGAGGAAAGGAAAGAGAAAGAGCCAAGCACAAAGCAGGATTATTTAAGTAACTGTTTTATGAACAAAAATCTAAAATAAACTAATGCAGGAAAAGCAGGTAGACCAATTTGAAACCCTTGATTATGCTTGGGTGAGAGAGAATTGTGTGCAGATTGTGTAACAGAAGAAATTTGGTAGATTGAAGAGAGAGGATTGACAGTTCTTGTGAGAGTTTGGTGTGAAGGGAGAGAAATGAAGGATTACTTTTAATTTCTGACTTGTCCTTTCAGTTGGAGGAAGCTACCATTAGAAAAGAGAAGATCAGAGAGGAACAATGCTTAGGGGAAATTCAAGAGTTGTGTTTTGATCATGTTAAATTTGAGGTGTCTTTGAGACATTCAAGTTACCATGTGGATTAGGCACTGAGTCTGGAGATTAGGTGAATTAGCATACCTGGAAATCAGCATTCTGGACCATTGTCGTACTAAGACATCAAAAATAATAAAAAGAGTCACTCAGAAATAAAGAATAGAGAAATGTGGTATCATGTATAAGAACTCTCTCAAACCCAAACAAGAGACTGGGTAGAAGGAGAAGAGTCTTCTCCCGTCATGGTTTATCATGTTTCACTTTTGTTGCTTTCTAAAAGTCTCCCATGGCTCCTAGAAAATCAGTGTAGGGATTGAGACTCTCTGTGTTTTCTGTGCAAGACAGAGGCTAGAATTTGATCTCCCTATGTGTGCCTATATATGTGATTTTTATCAATGTGCATGTACAAAAAGGAGACACGAGAATCAATAAGGATAGAATTCGTTAGCAAATGTTTCTGAAACTAATGCTTAGTCCTAAATCCAATTTTAATTCTCATTTCACAATGTTGGAAAACAGGTCGTACTTTAATACTATGTATTAAAATTCAAGATATTGAAAATGAAAATACACAATTTTTTAAATAAAATCTCTGAAGGTTTAGTGAAGACTTACAGATTTTAACAAAATCATAAATGTGTTCAATTAAAATATGTACACATTATAAATATTGAAAACAAGTATTAAAAGACTATTCACACATAGAGAAATTATTCATCATGGAGTTGAAATATTTTAACATTTTCCTCTATAAACAATGTTACAAATAAACGTAAGTCAAAAGTAGGGCTTATAGAAAATGGAGAGATGATTTATAAAAATAAAAAATAGCCAATTAATACATATAATTTTCTTATATTTGTTGTCATTTGCTAACAAAAATACAAAATATATAACAATGTCTTCATTAATATGTATTAAATGTTTTGAGTTTTAATTAATATTTATTAAATGTTTTAATATGCAAGCTGCTGTTTTATATTTGATATTGTATAACATTGTTGATGCTTTCAAGAATGAAACAAACCTTAACAATATTTTAAGTTAAAGTATACTTTCTTCCTCCTGAATTTGTTATAATTTATTGTGAATGATTTTCCAAAAATGTGTTTATTTCTTCTCATTTCATTCTTTTTCCACTTTTGGAATCTCATCTAAATAAAACTTCATTACTTTAAATGCAGATTACTGCATTACTTTATTTCTGGTTTCTATCTCTTTAAAAATATAACCTGTTTTGTGGGGGAAAAAAAAGCAAAGCCAGTTTTCTGAAAAGAAATTATTTCACGTTTTAGTCTAGGAATTTTTTTTTTATTAGTTGCTCAAGACAATACAATGATCTTGACATATCATACATTTGATTTAAATAGGGTATGAATTCTCATTTTTCCACGTGTACAAATTGCAGGATCACATTGGTTATACATCCATATTTATACATACAGCAATCCTATGTCAGTTGTAGTCTAGGAATTTTAAGTGTTACAAACACTCTACATAAAATCATATAAGCTTTTGATTAGTAACTAGAAAACATTAATCAAAGAAGACTCCTAATATTTAAACATTAAATTATGATACTCTGTTGATTTACTGAGATTTGGAACAGTACTTTCTCAAAATGTAATGAAACTAATGAGAGCTGGCATAGCAGTTACTATCAAGGTTCTCTTGATTTACTCTGGCTATGTAATTTGAATTAAGATTTGTCAAACAATTTGGAAATTCTACTAACATATATTTTAACAAACACGACCTCATGATTTAAATAAGTATGTAAAAGGAAAAATATTTTTATGTTCATTATTTATGAAAGCATTTCCAAAAATCAAAAACCGTTTGCAGTAGAGGATGAAGTATAAGAATGTTGTAGGTCCTCATGACTTTTTTGAGAACATTTATCACTTCCTTATTTCTCAGACTATATATAAAAGGGTTTAGTAAGGGAATTACTATTGTATAAAATATTGACACTAGTATACCTTTATATTCTTCTTTGAATGGTCGAATATATGTGAGAAGACAAATGTAGAATATTGAGACTGACAGAAAATGGGATGCACAAGTTGAAAATGCTCTACCTCTCCCCTCCTTAGATTTCATTCTGAAAATAGTGAAAATAATGCAAAGATAAGAAATCAAGACAGTGGAAATAGTAAAGATTTGAATTGGCATTGAAAAAATATATATCATTAGTTCATTAATAAAAGGGTCAGTACAGGAGAGTCTATACAGGGGAAGGATATCACAGAAAAAGTGATCAATTTTATGAGATCTGCAGAAAGTTAGCCTTAATAGAAAGGTCGTATGAATCATAGAATGCAGATTACTAGCTACGAAAGTTCCTATAGTCATCTGAATGCAGAGTTTCTTTGACATCAGGGTGTGGTACTGCAGGGGACTGCATATGGCCACATAGCGGTCATAGGCCATTGCAGCCAGAAGAAAGCAGTCTGCAGTCTCAGCAAGACAGAGAAAATAAAACTGTGCCATGCATTCATAGAGGGAAATCCTTCTGTCCTCAGAAAAGAAGTTCTCCAGCATCTTGGGAGTGATGGCAGAGGAACAGCAGGAATCCATGAGAGCCAGGTTGCCCAGGAAGATGTACATTGGTGTGTGAAGACGGCGCTCCATGTAAATCAAGGCCACCAACCCTAGATTCCCCACCATGGTGACCAGATAGATGGCAGAGAATACCACAAACAGAAGGACCTTCAGATTTTGGTTATCTGTAAATCCCACGAGGATAAATTCGGTTGCTAAAGAATGATTTGTCTCAGGCATTCCTGGCTTGTGCTAAAACATAATTTGTAAAGAAATTCAATTGAGATTATAAGCAGAATATGTTTCACTCACCCCTTTTAATTACCCTAAGCACACAAAGAAGACTTTTCTACTTCAAATCACTCTATGCTATCTCCTGAAAACTGGCACACTCATAGTATATGAAGTCTTGTGAGAAGAAATATATCGCGGATTATGCACACAACAGGGATTGTCTGGGAATGTCTGTGTGAATTCCTAGGATGGAAAAGCTCTTTGTACATGAACATGTACAGATTCATGGTCGGTATAATTATTTTTCCATTTCCCATCTTAAAAAACATTGTCTTACTGTAAGTTTCTTTCCATGAATTAAAGAATAAGTTATAAATATAATTCATGAGATTAATTTGGTACTTAAAATAAATTATTCTTTAGACATTTTAATGAATAGATGTCTAAGTTTTTAAAAAATGTTCAGAGTCACAGTTTGTTTGAGAAATATATTCTATAATTTGGTAAACTTTCACAGGTAAGGTCACCAAGAGATATTTTAAAGAAATATTTAGTTATTCTTTAAGACAGGGTAGGAATATAAAACATATTAAAGCATAATATAAAACATGTTAAAATTCCTTAATAAGTTAAAAATTTGTTTTATATTCATTTTGACATATTCTCGATCCTACTTCTATCTTGTACGTCAAATATTTGTGGAGTTATTTCTCTTAATTATCTGTCTCAATATTTGTCTCTAATTTTAAGTGTCTCTCTCTTTCTGTATATATATGCATATCTAATATTATGAGACTCATTGACAAAGTTTCCATTCACAGTGTGCATATGTTTCATAATAAGTCTATCTCCTATAATCTCAAACATCTTCTCTAGAAAAAAAAATCCACTTTTTGTTCAGTCCTATAGTTTCCCCACTTATTTCACTATTTAAACTTGCAGACTCAAATGTATGTTATGTTATAGCATATTCACAAAGGAAATATTATGACAAGTTTGAGAAGTAGCCAGTTGCATTCTTTTGGAAATCTATTGTATCATTTCAATGTGTTAAGTGCCTTATTGTAAAATTTTAAGTCTAAAACTCACTGTTTTCCTGACACATATTTTTCATTATGATATCTACTGTATGTTATTGAATAATTTAGTAATCAAATATGTATATTTCAGAAATTCTTTTCTCCTATATACCAGTAACTTAGTTATTGATCTATCATATGAGATTTGAATTCAGGTTCTTTAATTTTTTTTAAGAGGAAATATTCTTTGGTTAGAAATGCTTTCCTGCTTGTGCTTTTGTGTTTGTAAAAACATTTCAGGAAAAATTTAGGAGTATAAATATAACATACTCTTCCAAAATATGATTTTACATTTACATTTTAAGTACCTCATTGTTAGTTAAAACTAATTTATGTTTCTGCTCAAAAATTCAAGAGGCATTTCAGGTAAATGGATGGAGTTGGAGAATATCATGCTAAACAAAGTAAGCTAATCCCCCCAAAAAACAAAGGCTGAATGTGTTCTCTGATAATTGGATGCTAATCCATAATGGTGGGGGACATGGTGTGAGAGGAGGAACTTTGGATTGGGCAAAGTCGAGGGAGGGGAGGGGAGGGGAGGAGAGGGGGAATTGGGATAGGAAAGATGGTAGAATGAAACGAACATCATTACCATAGGTACATGTATGATTGCTCAAATGATGTAAACCTACTTCATGTAAAACCAGAGAAGTGAAAATTGTGCTCCATTTGTGTACAATGAATCAAAGAGCTCTGCTGTCAGGTACAACTGAGTAAAACAAATAAATTTAAAACTTTTTTTAAAAAGTTAAAAAGAGGATTTATGCATTTGGTTTTTAATCTCTTTGGTTTTGCTTTAAAATACTTATACTTTGTATTTATCCAATATGCCAGAGTGGCATCAATATAGTCTTTCAAAATAAATAAATTTACAAACTCATTTAGTCACAATCTACTATATATTTATTGAGTTCAGTGGTCATCAAAATGTGCTATATATTTAATATCATTTGGCAACTGTAAATTATGCTATTTCAAGTGCAGAAAAAAACGTGTTTTAAAAATGGTAAGATCATCTTCCGTTTCTTCAAGAAATTATTATAAGACTTTTGGTTTAACATACTGTAGACAGACAGTATTGGATAAAAGCCTACTATAATTATTCAAAGGCATTGTTTAATACACATTCTGGTTAGTATTTCTGTTTCTTATTCTTGTCCCCACTGAATTTCATACAATGTTTTTATATTTGCTCACATAAGATGGTAAGATTCCAGAATTTTATCACTGCAGGCTTATAATCAATAAATAAAATAAATTGCCCATTATATTTTAGGTCTATTCACTTTTAAAATATCCCTCAGAATTTTAATATTTTTAAAAAATAATATGAAAATACAAAAAAATGCCAACTGCATCATTATTTTAGCAACGCTTAATGACAAATATGCTGAAAATATTTATGTGGACTCAGGAGAAATATGTTTCATTTTCAGTAACCATTAACCTATTTAGGAGCTATTGTATCAGAATATAATAGAGTGAAAACTCAATTTCTCTTCTCAAGTGCAAAGTCAAATTATTCATCTGAATCAGAAATCAGTTTTTCTCTACAATCCAGAATTATTTTGCATGGTCCTTTATAGACTTACCTGTATATTCTGTGTTAAAAGGATGATGCTTTTGGACTCAGAATACTTAGAATAATTGCCACATTGTGTCTCATTATTTCTTTCCATGGTATCTTCAATTTAGAGACATAATAGAAAAGAATCAAGTGGATAAAATGTGAAGACAATAAAAATACTGAAATATTTCAAAGAAATATATATGTCTTCATGTTTATAGTAAAAATGAATTAGCAATCCACCCTCACACTTTGGTTTACAGATGAACATTTTATAATAGTTTATTGGACACCTGATATAATAGTCTTTTCTTTTAGGGAAATCAAGATAAAAAATTGGTCTTAAAACTTTGGGGAATAAATTACAAAAATCTAGGACATTTTCTCTACTCATAGGTCAGTGACAACAATTATGTTAGCCTCAAAGCACAGTTAAAGTTTCCCATTAATTCTAAAGGGATTTGCTTGGCACTGACATCAGGGTAATTCTACATAGATTCCCAATATGAGAGGAATGGTTCCCAAAACACCAGTAGCCACACAACATTAATTGAAGAGGGATACATGCTGACATTCTGAGGTTAAATCAAATGGCCATCACTAAAGTCAGTTTAACGATCATCTTGAGTTTTTACCCACTTAATTCTGCTTCTCTTTGTATCAAATATTGTTTAAATAAGAACTATAATGGATAGCAAATAGATTCATACCGATCACTTGAAGTGCAAGTTGGAGATTTAAAGAGAGGTTTGGGTTTGTGAAGAGGCATAGTGTGGTGTGATGGGCAAGGGCAGCTTCTTTTCTCTCATTTTCTATAGTGAGGAATGAAACTCTAACATTGTGTTCCTTTATTTCACTTATGCATCATAACAACTAGAGAAATCATTACTGAAGTATGATTGGCATGCAAAAGGCTACTATACATATTTACTGTGTGTTGCTCCATGAATTTGAAGATAAATATACATCCATGAAGTTTATCATAATCAATGGTATAGTCATAAAATAACTATGTTGGGGTTCTGGGAATCAAACCCAGGGTCTTGTGACACTAGGCAAGTACTCTACCACTGAGCTACAATTCCAGACCAAAATAACTAAATTGATCTCCCATCTCTATCTCTTCTCTAGTGTAGATGCACACTTATGCCTTAGAAAGGTTTTTGTTCCTTATTATTCTTCAAACCAAGTCTTTATCTTTTATTGGGTATCTAGGCACTCCATAGATAGGGTTTATATCATTTATGGTTTTCCTTTCACCTTTATGAATCCATCTCTACGGACTTCTTCTTCCTCCTCTAGTTCTTCTTGGTGCACTAGATTTCTATTCTGAATATTTATTTGGAATCTACTCCTATCTGAAATGCCCTCTTTGACTTATTCTACTGAATCTCACAATAGAGGTCTCCTCAAATTTCTAATGAACAAACTATTAACAGTCTTTATTCTTTAAAAAAAAATTGGGGAGGCACCAGGGATTGAACTCAGGGGCACTTGATCACTGAGCTATATCCCCAGCACTGTTTTGTATTTCATTTAGTGTCAGAGTCTCACTAATTTGCTTAGTGCCTCCCTTTTGCTGAGGCTGGCTTTGAACTTAAATCTTTCTGCCTCAGCTTCCTGAGCCACTGGGAGCCACTGGGATTACAGGCATGTGCCACTGTGCCCAGTTTAACAGTCTCTATTATGCAAAGAGTTGTGAATATTCATTTGTATGTTTATGGAGCTTAACTTCCTGGGCATTCTCAGATAATTTTTTGTTGTTGTTGTTTTTGCTTTACAAATGTCAAACCTCTCATAATTCCAGATAATGTAGAACTCAGTGGGTGCTAATTAAATTGGTTGCAGAGACTTAAATTATATTCAACATTTACAGAGTGATTATAGAGACAAGTCATTGAATCAGACATTGACAAGTAAGAAATGACCTTGATTTCACAGAATTTCTGTCTTGATGGTAAAATCATTTATACAACTACATAGAGCAGCTGAGACTGAGTTAAGTATTATGTTAAACGAAGAAAGCCAGGCTTAGAAAGATATATTCCATATGCTTCTCTTCATGTGGAATTTGAAGAAGTTGATCTCTTAGCACCTGGGAGAAGAATGGTAGCTCTCAGAGGCTGGAAAGTAGGAGTGAGGCAGAGGTAGGGAAACATTGATCTGTAGGTAATGAGTTACAGTTAGGAGCAAGGAGTTCTAGTATGCTGTTGCACAGCAGGGGATTCTAGATAACATTAATGTAGAGTGCATTTCAAAAAGCCAGAAAAAAAAATGAATTTTTTGCCACATAGAAATAATAAATGTTTGAGAAGAGAGATATGTGTAGATAGATTAACATTACAATGTATACATGTATT